CCCCAAAACCCCAAAACCCCAAAACCCCAAAACCCCTAAAGGTCAAGATCTCATTGAACACATCTGACTCTGGTTAAATATTAATAACATGAATTATTTTAATGGGCCTGAGGAGTTTTAGTAGAGTATTAGGAGCTTTATATGTCATTATGAGAGCTACAAAATCTGAGGTATTAAAGCTCCCTATTAAATTCTAAAACTTCGGAATTTCTAACATTTTACATCATTTCTCTTGCTCAAATAAAAATTGCAACAAAATTTCTACCACAGTAGACTTGGCCGAAGCCAAATTATATGAAAAATCGTTTCTTCAAACCCTATATCTATATCTCTACTATCGAAGGATGTTCATCAGCGAAGTTCACAAAGTAAATTTAATTTTTTTCAGAAAGCATGTGATGGTCTTTGCCTAAACTCTTAGCTTCACATCCAGTAAGAAAGCAAGAAAACCATCCTGGTTACTACAGAGAAAAATTAGGTAGCAGTCTCATTCTTTTTAATAATTGACGTAAAAACTTTACTTTTCAGGCATCTCTACAGAAGCGATGTACAAAGACCGCATAGTGAAGCTGAATATGCTGTTTCTCACTAAGCCAGAGTTCTTAAAACCTCTGAAGAAAAAGATCTTTCTTCAAAATAAAAGTGGTTTACTTCTGGTCTGAGGACACCTAAATATGCTAAGTTATGCTGAAAATATCAGAATTCCAGTATAATCACAGGAGGGGTTCCCACCACTGTGATTTTCCTCTAGGTTTCTAAACGCTAGAAGATCTTGGTCTTCCTCCCTTATCTCAGCTTGGGTAAGCTAATTCTGAGCCGAGGCAGGTTCTCTCAATTATTGGAGAAGATGCGTCAATGATGCTTGATAGTTTCGTGGCTTAACTTTGAAACTTCTGAGAATAAGCTACATCTTGGAAAGATATAAAAAGAGAAGTTAATGTTATTTATTAATAAAATAAAATTATGAAAGTAAACATGGCTGTCAACGATATCCACGAATCTTGTGAAATCACTGAGGATTTCGATTTTACAGAGAGAGTTAATACTGTCAGAGTCAGCAAGAATAACTCCAACCCTCTTGTTATTAATAAGGGCAACCCTAAGGCCAAGAATCCATGAAATTTTGGAAAGTTTGGCAACCTGAGCAAAGTCTTTAATGTATCGCTCATTTATAAGAACGATACTATCAAAGTACTTGAAGAGCCAGAGATGAAGAGAATGAGGACAGACTTAGGCTGTAACAACATTGAAACATCAAAAATTAGGTATCTTTCGCATCAAGAGCGAGTATGTCGGAATGAACTTATGAGGAACCAATCTTCGAGTTTGATCCTAAAGCAAATATTTATGTCAAAAAACTCAGGGATTACCAAGTAAAAGGACTCTATGTTAATAATTTTTAAATAATACAAATTCAAAATATTTTGATTCATGAATTATACTTAAAAAAGGCATGTATGGATATCTTTTGGCCATACAGAGAGATAGGAGCTTAATCATAGCTTAAAATCTTAGATCTTGTCGGGAAAAAGCTATGTTCGTGTCTCTAGGTAAACTCCAACCCATGCTTCTTTAAGAAAATTTGCAGAGGATTTTCCAAACCATCTTTGGTATGAGATTAAGACATTATAGCTTCGAAGATTCTTTCTTACTTTTATACTTACCTAGCCTTACTCAGCTGGGAGAATTCACTGTCATTAACATATAGGAAATTATTTAACCCAGCTAGGGATTCTTGGCATACTTATTTCCTTCTCTTTTGCCTTCGCTCGATATAAGGTAGCAAATATTTATGAAGCGGTTTAATAACCGCTCAAAATTTATATGTAACCTAAGGCAGGTGGGTAATTTCTCTGTCCATAAGCATCCAATTTTCAGGAAGAATTCGTATCTAAAAATCGCATGGAAAATTCTTCTGCAAAAATAGAGGGTTAGGGCCGAGAACTAATGAGGTTTTTACAAACATCTAATTAATAAAGATGTATATTTATATAGATGTAGTTTTTACTTCGATTCTATTTTAGAAAATTTAGCTGGGGTTTTGGGGTTTTGGGGTTTTGGGGAGAT